TGATGAGATTTGTGTTTGAGAAAGATCACTCTGGAAGAACCCTAGGGAATGAATTGGTAGGGGAAGGACTATTTGGAGACTTGCAGTAATATCTGTAGCAGGTGGACTGGCCCCAGCATTCACACTAGAATCTATGGCTAGAAGACATTTGCCAGCTCCAGGTTTCTAGCACATCTGCAACTGTGTATGTAAGACACTTAAAACTATCTTTGGAAGGTGGCAATATCCCCTTTGACCAGGAACATGGGAGAAGAGGGAGTTATGCCGTAGGGCTAACGGGTGAAAGAATCACCAAGGCTAGGGGACATGCCTCAGAGTTGTGTTTGCCTGACAGGCGTCTACTAGAAAAGTCTCAGAGGGTGGAAGCCATCATTGCATCTATGCAGGCTACAGGTGCAGAGGAGGTACAGCTCCAAGAAATAGAGGAGATGATCACAGCCCCTGAACGCCAGCAGCTAGAAACCCTGAAGCGTAATGTCAACAAGTAAGCATCATAAATCTCAAACCTATGTTTCAAAACACCTTCCAGACAAGTCCACCTCAATACCCTGCTACCCCTCCAGCCTCACCCAAGCAAACCTAAACTCACTCTCTTTTTCCCCAGCTCAATTGGCAGAATTTAATCCACCTGTTTTCCTAAGCTTAAAAACTCTGAAAGCATTTCAGCTTCTACTGCCTTATTACACACTCTTGTTCACCAAGTCTATTGATTTAACTTCAGTAATGTGTCTCAAATCGGGCCTTTCATCTTGGTCCTCATGCAGGCCTTCATCACTTCGTTCCTAGACCTTTGCAGTCATCTCCCCCTTCAAACCATCTCTTACAATGCTCTCAATGCCATTCTCCGTGGCCTCTAATCTTAAATAATGAATGTTCCTTCCTTCTGGGCAAATGCTTTCACTTTTTCACTCAGGTTGGATGCCAGTGAGATCCAGGTGGATGAAACCATCTTCCTATTGGAGTCATATATTGAGAGCACCATGAAGAGACAATGACCCAGAAGAAGAGTCTCAAAAACTCTGGAGAGATTGGAAGGAAAAATAAAGGAGGTGCCTGATGCAGTCTTTGCAGTGAGATATGTTGCCGATTCTTTTTTTTTTTTTTTAATTCTATTTATTTGAGAGAGAAAGTGAGCAAGTGTGTGCATGAGAGAGAGAGAGAGCAGGAATGAGCAGGGGGAGAGGGAGAAGCAGACTTCCCACTGAGCAGGGAACCTGACGTGGGGCTCAAGCCGAGGGTCCTGGGATCATGACCTGAGCCAAAAGCAGACGCCCAACCGACCGAGCCACCCAGGTGCACCCATTGCCAATTCTTATACTGAAATGCCCTCTCTATCCCTACTGCCCAGAATACACCAGAAAGAGTTTGACATGTTTTTTAAAGTTTGCTGATCCCGTCTTTTCCCCATCACTGTATTCTCCCCTCATCAGATCTCAGTGGGGGAAAGGACCTTAAATCAACTAGATTAATCATCTATCAGATGCATCATTTCCCACCAAGAGTCAGCCAGGCCTGTGTTTGAATGTCCGTGTCAGTGGAAGAAATTTCTTCCTAAGCAGATTCCATTCTCAAAAGGCTACACCTGTTCTTTATTTTGTTAAGTTGTAATCTCTCTCTCTCTCTCTCTCTCTCTCTCTCTCTCTCTCTCACACACACACACACACACACACACACAGTGTAGGGAATGTGAAAGACAACCACAGAGAGGAGAATAAAAGCTATTTTCAGGACTAGCAGGTGGACTGGCCCCAGCATTCACACTAGAATCTATGGCTAGAAGACATTTGCCAGCTCCAGGTTTCTAGCACATCTGAAACTGTGTATGTAAGACACTTAGCACAATGCCTGGCATATGGTAAGCACTCAAGAAATCATTGCCTTCCTCTTCTCCGTGGTTTCTTAAAAGCAGCAATTCTAAGTTTTCTCTTTCAGTGTCATGGATAGATAATTAACCTAGTTGATGTAATTTGTCCCAGCAGCTTCAGTTCATTTAAAGCAGGTAGGTGCTGTTAAAATCTCTTCGGTTTCCTCTTGCCAATGTCCATTCTCTCTAATTCATTAAGATTAATGAATTAATTAATTCATCAATCAAGTGCCAATTAATTGCTAGCCATTATACTGGATATAATATATCAAGATAAATAAGTTGCTGTCTCTGCCTTCAAGCCACTCACCATTCTTTACTGAGCATCTGTTAATGTGCCCAGGACTGGGCTAGGCTTTAGGGATACAAAGATGAATAAGCCTTGCATACATAGCATAGTGGGAAGAGACAAATAAATACAAGGAAATACTTGGGGGCTCTAGCAGAAAAGTGTTACATACAGAGAGGCAAGAGGGAGAAGGGTCAGGCAGGAAAGGGAGCGCAGAGAAAGTGACAACCTGTCTTTTGAAAGATGAGGATTTGCCAGGTAGAAGGGGAAAGGGATCCCAGGAAGCAGAGCCTGGTTCCAGGAAGAACTGCAAATAGGATGTGACTAGAAAATAGGGCGTAACTAGAAAATAGGGCCTAAGTCCTGCCAGCACTGAGGCTGGACAGCCGGCAGGAGCAAGGGGGCAGGGGGGGGCAGGCGTCCTCACTATACTGTGCTTATTAGTAGCTTATCTTCTCCTGAGCAGTGGGAAGCAAGATGATGAGATTTGTGTTTGAGAAAGATCACTCTGGAAGAACCCTAGGGAATGAATTGGTAGGGGAAGGACTATTTGGAGACTTGCAGTAATATCTGAGGCAGAATAGGAGGAAGGCTAGGACTAGGAACAATGAAGGCTAGAGAGCAAGACATTCGAGAAAGTTTAAGGAGGTAGAATCTGCTGCACTGAGTTGCCATTTGAGTGAGAAGAAAGAGAAGGGAGGGGTCAAGAATGTTTCCTGGGTGTCTGGCGAAGAGACGTAATTAATTCGAGGTGATACCTACTAGAGCAGATAGGCGTAGAGTGCTACAGAGGGGTGCTTATATAGTACACGGCCCGTGGCTGGCGGGAGGTGACATGTGAGTTGAGAAATCATCCAGTCTGAATCACTCTCCTAAACAGAGAAGAGGGGAAAAAAGAGGAGCTGAGGATTTCGAGGTTTTCTTCTTTGTCATTTACTAACATTGCCCCTCTGGCTCAACCCCAAGTGTTCCGCCTAAATTTGCCGCGGCGGATCGCTGAAGCCCGGCTTCCCTCCGACCCCGCCGAACGCTCCGAGGGGCGGCGCCGCTGGGCCAGCAGAGGGCGCCAGACGGGCCGCGGCCCCCGAGCCGCGTCATGGCCGCCGCGCGGGTGCTGCTGCTCCTGGCCGGGCGCCCCGTGTCGCCGAGCTTCGTGCAGAGTGTGTGTCGCCTCCTGGGCGCCGGGCCAGGGCTCGGGCCGTGGCCCACGCACTGCAGCTTGAAGCGAGGACGACTCGTCCTCTCGGACGGCCCGTTCCCAGGCGCTTCGACCAGGCTTCCACTCCAGGTCGGGCGAAGGGGGACCCGGGGTCGGGGGGCAGGAGTGGGGTCGGGTGGGAGCTGGCGAGAGAGGCCTGGGGGCAGGGATCGACCAGACTCGACCTCCTCCCCCACCGCGCGGCGTTGCCCGATTTTTGCCCGGCTTCTGAAGCCTTAACCCAAACGGCTATCCCCCGCCCCCGCCAGCGACCCCCTTTCTGCCCTTTTGTGGCACTGGACCAGCAGCAGCTCAGGGCTCCGGGGGCCGAGCTGCCCACGAATCGAGGTGTGGATCTGGGTGTGGCCGTCATGCTGCAGTCCAGCGACCAGACTGTCTTGTTAACCCGAAGGACACGCACCCTCAGCGTTTCTCCCAACCTCTGGGTACCCCCAGGTGAGTGCCCTGAGAACAAGATCCCAAATCCGGGGAGGAAAGGGGCCTTTCACCAACAGTGCTATTCCCAGTCTCAGGACAGAGAGGCAGGCTCAGAAATGTGGTAGGTCCCCTTTTCACAAGGAGTTGCAATGGCATCTGTTCCCCCCCGGGAGGAGGGCGCAGTATAAATAGTGCGCAGCGTGTCCTGACCAAGAACACCACCACTTATCCCTTGGTCCCACTGTTGTTGCAGGTGGACACGTGGAACTTGATGAAGAGGTAACCAGTCTGCTAACCCAACCTTCACCCTGCCCTGAAGCCAGAGACCTCTGTCTGGGGCTGCCTTGGGTGTGCGCTGAGGGAGGAACAAAGGACTTGGGACCTGTTTCTCTCATTGAGAGAAATGTCTGGGACTTGTGCTCTCTCGTTCCCAGCTGTTGGACGGAGGGCTTCGAGAGCTTTGGGAGGAGAGTGGACTACAGCTGCCCCAGGGCCAGTTCTCTTGGGTCCCTCTGGGGTTATGGGAGGTGAGACAGGAACCTGGAAAAGGTCCCTTCCTTATTTAACCAAAAGCCTCAACAACCCACCAAAGCCTATAGAACAGCCCTACGTGCCTTGGCCACAGGAGAAACGAACAGTGGGTGGGTGGTTTGGAGTCCCCAAACCCACAGTCCCCACCTGTGTGCCTCCTGCACCATCTCTACCCTCCACTTCCTCAGCTGTATTTACAAAGTCTCAAAAAGAGATAGGAAGTTCTCATCTTTGCTGTATTCTCTCTTAGTCTGCCTACCCCCCTAGGCTGAGCTGGGGTCTCCCCAGATACCATCACATCATTCTCTATCTACTCGTGGTCTCCCAGGAATCACAGCAGCAGCTGCAGGTAGGGCTGGCAGTGTAGGAAGGCGATGGGGGTTGAGACCCAAGCAGACTGGTTCTGTGACTAGGGTGGAGGGTGGGGGGCAGTCAGAGATAACCAAGAAATCCAATAGCCTCTCCCCTTGCCCCTGCCCCAAGTCTCTTTCCATTCCACCTGTGGGTAGGCTGTGGTCAAGAACAGGCCTCCTAAGAGAGGCCACGGCTAAGGGATCTACCTACCTATCTGGCCCAGGCCCGGATCCAACCAAACCCAAGCGAGGTGAGCGCCTTTATGTGGCTGGGACCAGATGTAGCAGCTGCAGTGGCTGCCACAGAGGATGGGACAGAGACACCCAGACATCTCCCCCAGGAGCTACCACCCTCCGTCCTGTAAGAGCTTTTGCCTGACCCTCCCAACACACCAACACATAGTCATTGGGGAGTTCTGCTTCTCTCCCCTCCCCAGGGGGGAGTTTTGTGTCGTGGGGGACATTTAGGGAGTGGGTTGGTCAGCTGATGATGAAAGGGGCACATGAGATCAAGGACACTGTCCATCCAACTCCAAGGGTTCCTGCTCCAAGCTGGCTAGCACTGACCACTGGGTTTGAGTCCCACTCCCCCAAAGGGGCAAGTCATTTCACCCTCCTTGAACCTGTTCCTCTCTGTAAAATGAGGGCATCGTCCACCCATCCCTCTCCTGCTGTGGCTGGGAGGGTTCCGTGGAAGAGGGCTAAGTCACAAGGCACAGCCCGGACAGGAGCTGTCATTATGCAGTACGGCAGAACTAGAGGAGGACGGAGGAGCTCGACCCCTGGCCTTGCCCGTGTCCACGCTGCTGCGGACGACCCCAACCACAGCTGAAGGCAAAGAGAGAGTCAGCTCTGGGACCAAGTTTGCCCTCAGGCTCTGGCTGCAACATCTGTGCAGGTAAGAGTAAAGGACTTGAGGGCCCTGCAACATTGGGCTGAACGCTCTATGAGGGAGAGGAAGGAAGAGCAAATGGCCCTGGAGCTCCTCAGTGGAACACCCCTCCCACGTGAAAGTGGGCCCAGGGCCTGCAAGGAGGAGCAGAACATGGGCCCCCTCTGCCCAAACCAGGGCTCTGGAAAGGGAAGTGCATAATCCCCTCCCCAGCCCACCTCTGAGACACTCACAGACATTCACAACTTTTATTATGGGTAAGAACTTTGCTACAACTTTGAGAATAAAAAGTAAAATTACAACATAGGTCCTAGGCCCTGGAGGAACCTAAAAAAGGAGAATGGGGAGAGCATGAGGTCTTCCCACCTCCCAGAAAAGGTGCAGAATGAGCCAGACCTAACCATGGGGCCATGGGCCTCTTGAAGCTCATGCCCCAAGCTGGTCAGCATACGAAACGTTGTGAACTTAAATATATAAATAGAGACCCAGGCAATAGGCCAGACCCTGCTCCCAAACCCCTGGGGATCAGGGCTAAGGCCTTATCTCCTCCTCAGTCATACTGGGAAGTAGGAGGCAGGGGAAATCGTCTTTGGAGTATTTTGGTTTTTCTTGTTTATGTACAAAAAAATCTGCAACCCAAAATAGAGTTCTTTGTCCATATGTCTGCCTGTCTCAGCTTCTCCACCTGTCTGTTTGGGCAAAGAGAACGGAATGGACATGAAGAGACAATGGATGTGGGGAAGGAAGAGAACCATAGGTTTGGGGAAGAGAGGGCATCTAGGGGACAAGAGGAAGGCCCTTTCCCCATGAGGCTCTAGCCAATTCGGCCCTTCCCCCAACTCACACCCCATCCCGTGTGCCTCCCACTGCCTAGGTTTAACATACCCAAAGGAATGTGCCAGCCATTTAAAGAACATTTCCAAAAATAGAACCCAAATGTCCTTAAAAAGAGGTTAAATATTAACCCTTTGGGTGCTGGCCTTGTTAGGCAGAGAGAAGGCCAAACACAGGATACCATGAAGGTCTTTCTTTGACCTTTGGCCAAAGCCCCCTGAGGGGTCAGAGTGGCCAGGAGTCTGAACTCCACAGCATACTTGCTCAGTGGTGGGAGGCAGTGAAGTTTCCATCATCCAGGGGACTCAGTCCAGGGAAATGATGTCTGACCGGCAGCCAGTCAAAGAGGGACCTGAGGACAGGGGTCCGCCAGGCCCCTCCCTCAAGGCCCCCCCAGGGGCCACAATGCTACTGACGCGGCCAGGAGGGGGTGCTGGAGTGGTGCTGCGGTGAGAGCTCCCCAATGTGGGGGCTAATGGGCCCAGGAAGTGGGAAGGGGTCCCTCGGTACTGGAAGAAGTGGCCAAGGGCATCCTGTTCATCTATCGAGGTGATGACGGAGGGACCATAGTGCTGGGGGGAATCAAGGGCACAGTTTAAGGTTTTCTCCTGACTTCACCCACCTCCCAGTCATTCATCTCAGAAATATCCTGGGATAAATCAAACCCTCTGGATCCCCAGATACCCTCTGAGAAGCAGGGGAGACTTTTTTCCCCCTACTTCCCCACCCCACCCCTTCCCTACCCCTATCCCCTGCCTTGATACAGTCTCTCCAGCTTGCTAGGTTCTTGGCCTTGTGGGCGTCTGAAATGCATGGAATGTCCAGCTGGGGCAGGCACAGTGCTCAAGTGCACATGGGTGTGTGTTGGGGGGGGGGGATTGAGTGGAGAGCAGTCAGGGCAGAATTCTAAAAACTTGAGAAAGAACAGTAACGGTATCAAAGAAGACATGGGTGAGAATCTGAAGAAGCACCAGTAGGGTCTAGTAGGGAAATAAACTGCCCACACCGCCTCTGCCCCCCAGCCCCTGCCTTCCCTCACAAGAAGCAGATTTAGGTCTTAGGGGAAAATGGCGGGGGTGGGGGGCATCAGTGCCTAGAAAGGAAACTTCAGGGATCTGATAGCTTCATGGGAGAAGGAACCACTTACCTGACTCTCAGTCTGGAGAAAAGAAAATAAATCTAAACCTGGCAAGAAAAGAAAAATCAGAATCAATCTCCTGTCTGACCCCTTCATGGCCAAAAAAACCCAAAGAAGTCCCTTGGATTGTAGCCTTTGCAAGAGAGCCAGAAGGCTTTGAAAAGGAACAGGGGTTCTGATCTGGTTTGGGGGCAGATGTGGCAGGGAACAGCCCACCTTGTGATCAGTGTCCTACCTTGGATATCGGTCCCCAGTGGGAAAGCAGGTGGGTACTCATGTAGTGGGAGACTGGACAGGAAATCCCCGCCCAGCGTGCCCATAGCAGGGCTCCGCAGCACTGAAGATGGCTGGTGACCAGATGTCAGGACTCTGTGAGGAGAGAGGAGGAACTGGGGCAGCCAGCGAACGACAGATGCCCTCACCCAGCTCAGCCTCCTGAGCCCCCTCTCTGCCCCGAGGTTTGTCCAGTGACCAGAGAGCATTCCTGACTTCTTCCTCTGCCCCTTCTGGCGTGGACTCAGCCTATTTCCTCATACCCTTTGCTTCCAGGTAGAGCCGGGATGGCAGCTGAGGTGACAGGACAGTGCTTTTTGGTCGGGGGCAGGTCCTCCTCATCTGATGAACTCTCTATTGTCAAGTCAATAACTTCAACCTTCTTCTTATTCTCGGATGGATTGCCCTCTTGGACGGGGCTGTACTGGAGGCCTGCGGGTGGTAAGAGGACTGTGTCTCAGAGACGAGGCCATCTGAGATGTAGTTCAGCTCGGGGAGGGGGGTCACTCACCATCCAGCCCATACCCTGGCGGGGGGCAAACCTCAGATGCCTCCTTCTTGGGTTTCATTGGGCACCAGGATCCATCTTCCATGAACTGGATCTCATCACAATCCGAACAGGAATTAAGTATCTCCATGAATAAGCTGGGGGAAGGGGAGAGAATGGGAATTCATGGGGCTGGGAGATGGCTGGGAACAGTAGCCGGGGAGTTCTGGGACTCACCTCTCTGAACCTGTTTCCTTGTCTGTAAAATAAGGACATTATTCACTCTACTCAACTCTCTTGAGGTGTCAGAATCAAATAAAGTAAGGTAATATAAAAGAGATTTGTCAACTTGCAATGCTAAGTTTTCCAAAAAATACATTCTAAGCACATGTTTCATGTAGTACTTGTGACAAGACAAAAGGAACAAAGAGATACAGAACTCCATAAACCATCTCAAAGAGAGCACTGGGAAGGAGGACCGTAATTGAGGCTCTGGACGGGGGTTAGGACTAGCTAGATCCGTACATCCAGACCCTCCGAAGAACCTTTCCTTACCATGGTCAGTGAGAGGTCACGTAGTTGTTCTAGGAGATACACTGTATCAGTTCAATACATTACTCTGTCACTCACTAACAATTACAACTTTGAGCAAGATAATCTCTCTAGGTCTCAGCTTCCTCACCTGTAAGGACCATACCCACCTCACAAGGTTAATTATGAGGATTCCGTGAGATAAGGCGTGCAAAGTGCGCAGCATGATGCCTAATGCAGTAAATCCTCAATGTTGGAAATATATACAATTGACCATGAACAACATGAGAGTTAAGAACACTGACCCCTCACACAACCAAAAATCCATGGATGGGGCACCTGGGTGGCGCAGTCAGTTGAGCATCCGATTCTTGGTTCCAGCTCTGGTCTGGATCGAGCCCCATGTCAGGCTCCACTCTGGGCACAGAGCCTGCTTAATGTCCTCTCCCTCTCCCTCTGCCCCTCACCCCCCCACCCCGCACTCTCTCTCTCTCTTCCTCTAAAGTAGATAATCTTTTTTTTAAAAAGTCTTTACTGTTTAAAAAAAAAAAAAATCCATGGATAACTTTTGACTTCCCCCAAAACTTAACTAACAATAGCCTACTGTTGACCAGAAGAAGCCTTACCAATAACATCAACAGTCAATTAACACATATTTTGTATGTGTATTATATACTGTATTCTTATAATACAGTAAGCTAGACAAGAAAAATATTAAGAAAGTCATAAATAAGAGAAAATACATTTATATTTACTATACTGTATTGAAAAAAATCTGTGTATAAGTGGACCCATATTGTTCAAAGTGGACCCATATTGTTCAAGGGTCAACTGTATATTATAAAGATGAAAAATTATATATATATATATACACATATACATATAAAGGGATTGATAGGTTAAGAGTTGGGGTTCCTGGAAGGGCAAGGAAGGTCTCTCAATATATAGATGGGGGGTCCCTAGTGGATGTCCTAGGTAAGAGGAAGCAGAATGCAGAGTGGCCCTACCCATCAATGATAAGAGATTCATAGGGAGCCTTCTTGTCACACACAGGACATGTCCATGTTGGCTTCTTCTCATTCATTTGTAGATAAAGAGCAGCATCGAAGCTCTGCAGGTGGGCGCAGGTGAGGGCACGACAAGGGACTGTCAGGCGCATCTTCCCTAGCTGAGAAGAGACGAGTTCTCTGGTCAGAGTCCCTATATCCCAGGAAGCCTCACTCTGGTAGCCCTAGGAGCCCTCATCTGGGTCCAGAGTTTAACCCAACCCCCCTCCCCCTTCTCATCTCCCTTGTACCCACCGGGCACATGAGTGACACCCGGAGACTTGTAGTGGCCACCTCACTGTCCGGGTCAGCGGTCAATTTCTCCTTGACTGAAACAAGAATGAGGCCAGAGCCATGGGGTCAGCAAATCTGGAGATGAAGCCCAGGAGGCGGTGAGGCCAGAAGCAGATGGCTCTGGCTGAGAGGCAGCTGGGCAGAGTGCCTTTGGGGGCCAGTGGGATGTCACGTTGGGGGTGGTCTTTGGGGGCCAGTGGAATATCACATGAAGACTGGGTGTGAGGGAGAGATTTCCCCATCCCTGAAGATGCTTAAATACAGCTGGATGACACTTTGGCAGAGATGACTTAGAGGGAACTGAAGCATCACAAGAGGGTTAGATTAGATGATCCTTAAGACTCTTTCCAGTCTAGGGGCGCCTGGGTGGCTCAGTCGGTTAAGCATCTGCCTTTGGCTCAGGTCATGATCCTGGAGTCCCAGGATCAAGCCCCACATCGGGCTCCCTGCTCAGCGGGGAGTCTGCTTCTCCCTCTGCCCCTCACCCCGCTCATGCTCTCTCTCTCTCTCTCAAATAAATAAATAAAAATCTTAAAAAAAAAAAAAGACTCTTTCCAGTCTAAAGAAGCCATATTCCAGCAGGGCTGGAGGGAGGGTCTGTGAGGTGCAAAGCAGATGTATAATTGAGAACGCAAGGGTGTCACTCAGTGCCTGGGAGTGGGCTGACTTCTCAACCATGAAGACTGGTAAGGGGATGGGGGAGGGTTGGGGTCAATGTGTGACATGAGGTATACTGTCATTAAGAGGCGGACGGGTTTGATTATAAAGGCTGGAGGACCGAGAAGACCTGGATCCAAATCAGAGGGGGAAAGAGGGGCAGGATGTTACTCACTCAGTGCCCGAGAGTGGTCTGGGTTCCGGATACCCTTTGCTCTGAGTTTTTGTAGAAGGGTCCCTGCAGTCAATTGCCTCACCAGGTACACAGACAAGGAGTAGTTCTACTTGGAGGGAGGGGGAGGCAGTTAGCCTCTGCCCTGCACATCACTACCACCACCATCACCACCACCCCAACCCTTTGTCCCATGAGGACCACAGACAGCAGGTTAAGGCAGAAAGACCCATAAAGAGGAAGATGCTTCCCCAACCCAGAACACGGGATGATGCCCCCTCACACCCTGCAGGCTTCTCTAGGTTCCCTGCCCCAGCCCTGCTCACCCGTCCAAACTCAGATGACCAGTTGACCACGATGGTGTTGGGAACAGTGGCCGAGAGACGAGCCAGAGGTGTGATGTTGATGGGGCGGCTAGGCCTCTTGGGCTCAGCCCCATTCTTGGTAGGGGGGAGGTAACCCTGGGGAAGGGAGGGAATGGTCAAGACATCTTGTCTCAGGTTATTCACTTCCTGGAGGGAAGACCAGCTCACTCACTGACCAAGGACATGGGGGGCCCATTCAGTGACTCACAAAACTAAAGCATTATCTAGGGTTGTATGTGGGGTTCATTCCTGGGGACAAAGGACAGCTTATTCGTTGACCAGGGAAATAAAAACCTATTCCCTGGGTTCCTGAGGAGGAAGAATAGGCAAGCCCCACTTCTTCCAACTCTCAGCTCTGAGGTCATCACTTCGGAGAAGTCTTCCCTGAACCTTTGGGTTGAACTAATGTCCCTCTTTTGGGTTCTGACAGAACCCTTGTGCATCAGCCCTATCTTAGTATTCTCTAGCTTGTATTAATCCCTCAGTAGGCTGAGTACCTACTATGTACCCAGGCACTGTGCTAGGCATGTCTCTTTCATAATAGGTTCGTATTTAACATTTAAGAACTCAAAGAGGAAAGGGGTTACTGCCAGAAAAAGAGAAGAGCATTTACCGGCAGGGGGCACAGTTTCCCATTGACCTTGACAAAGAGGTTGGGGGGAAAATAATCCTCCTGGGGGCAGCTGGTCTCACAGAGACAGAACCTGGTAAGAGAGGAGAAAAGATGAAAGGGTGGGGGAGGTAGTTTCTTGAGTTGAAGCTGGCAGAAAGGGAGGGAATCTCAGTCCGTCACAGATGTCTGTAGCTGTAGCCCTCAGCACCCAACAGAAGTCCCAGGGTTGGGGTGGATGGGGCAGAGCAGGGCTATCTCCTAGCCGTGTCCGTCATACCCTGATTTCGTTCCCACCCCCAACAGGAGCCCAGCCGGGAAGGGGGAGGGGGATCGACTCACCTGAGCTGCACCTGTATAGTATAGTCACATTTGGCTCCTGGTAGAACCTCTCTGTGACAGGGAAGGAGAGGGAAATATGTCAGGATGTGGCCCCCAGAGGGCAGGGCTGAACAGTCAGGGACGCACAAGAGAATGAGACAAAGCAGGTGCAGGAAGATGGACAGGCAGAAGAGCAGGACAAAAGAGAAGAAAGTCAGAGAGCAGAGTCCAGGGGTAGTCATCCCAAGATGAGGTGGGAGGGCTGGGAGAGATGTACCTGGATGTGAGAATCTGCTGCACTTGCTGGGGCGTGAGGGCAAAGGTAAAGTGCGCCTCTTCGAAACGCTGGCTAGAAGTGGACGCTGAGGACACAAAGGGGCAGTTACTCCTGAGCCACAGACGCTGCCCCCATCCCAGGCTGCTGATCCCACAGGAATAAAGCCTAAAGAAAGGCTTGGGCAAGAGGTATGGATCAGGAAGACTGAGGAAGACGGAGCCGTACCGAGGGTGGTGGGCCGGATGAGCTCCCCATAGACTTCATAGAAGGGCAATGGTTTCATGGTGACATCAGGGTGCACGGGCTGGGGCAGAGGGGGGTGCATGTCCACTTCACGCTTGGGGCCCAGCAGGGTGCCAGGGGCCAAGAGGGCTGGGGGAATGGGAGCCAGAGGACCAGGAGAGCCGACAGGAGGGGTGCCAGGGGGCAGAGAGAGCAGGGAGAGATCAGAGGGCCCCAGGGTCTTCCGGGGAAAGCGCCGGCGGTAAAGCTCCTTGATCTTCATCTGGACACTGGGGGCACAGCTGGACTTGAGGAGGTGCAGGGCCTTGGCCAAGAGCTCGTGCTTCCGTCCACTCTTGTTCCGGCCAGCAAAGCCGAGCAGCACCTGAAGCTCAGACACCCGGAAGCTCATCACCATGTGCTGCGGAGAAGAGAGACACTGGAGAATACTGCCAAGGGTGCTGGGGCTGAGCTACCAAGTAGCCAATGCCCCCCCCGCCCCACCCCCAGCACTCATCAGAAAGATGCTCTGCAGCCAATGGATGACTGCCAGACAGCCAATCTAGCCAAAGGGACATCTCAGGCCCATTCAGCAACCCTCAGGTCAACCTTACCACTGGCCCCCAGAGCTCGAGTAACCCTATCTCCCCATGCCTGTAAGGCGGCCAGGCGGGGCAGGGCGCAGACAGCGAGCCATCCACAAGCACACCAACGAGTCCACTTCGGCCTCCTACCTCCATCCCTGCCTTGAGCCTAGACGCTCCTTTAAGCTGCTTATCTCCTCTCCTGCTCTTTCTCAGACTCTCAGACCCACCCCAGCC